ATTAAATTAAAAGAAAAAGTGAATTCTATCTGAAATATAATCAAATTACATTTGACTAACATCAAAAATAAATCAAAAATAAATCGAAAAAAAAAAAACTAAATACAAGATGACTGAATTAAATTAAAAGAAAAAGTGAGTTTTATTTAAAATATAATCAAATTACATTTGACTAACATCAAAAATAAATTTAAAAAAAAAAAACATAGGGTGAATTAAATTAAAAGGAAAAAAAAAAAAAGGAAAAGTTTAATGTTCTGAGATTTCTATTACGATTACTTTAACAAATTTTGTTTATCAGTTTAAAATGTTGTTGGTACACGTTAATTCGTTTTTACGAGCCAATTTATTCTTCTCTTAAATGGCACAACTGTCTTAATTAAGAAAACGTGACAAGAAAAGCTATAAATAAGTCTTTCGTGTCTCGTGTGAATAAATTTGCGAAATAATTTGAAATAATATTTGAATATATTTAATATTTTGTCTGTATATAAATAAACATTTTCAAATTATTATTATTACATACAATTCAATGCACAAATATGACAAATCATTTCTTATCAATTTCATTCATTTTTTGTCACATTTAATTAATTAACTTTATTACAACGTGTTGATTTAAGTAAAAAAAAAAGAAAGAAGAAGAAAAAAGAAATAAATTGATGAAATAGGAGTTACCTAGAAAGCGTTAAAGCGTGAATGAAAAAAAAAAAAAACAAAAAAAAAAAATTCCTTTGAAAAATATAGTCTGACAGTATGATAAATGATTATAGGAAAATACATCAGGATACATGTTCCATATAAAAGGATAAATGTTAAGGTCTCTTATCGTTAACACCAAAGTTACAATTTGTGTGCATTGATATGAGACATTCATTGTATTACAGTTTCGATCATTGACATTTCTAATCATAAGTATAATATACACACATATACAATGTATAATAACAAGTATATATGTATATGTGCGTGTAGAAATTCCATTATATTCATTTAAATGAGACCTTTCACTTCAATCTCATAATTCAAAAATAGAATTATTTATTATATATATATATATATATATATGTATTTATTATTTTAATTAATAAATTTATGTAATTTGTATATAATTATTATTTTAATTAATGATTTAATTTTTTACAATATTATTATATTATAATTATTAAATTATATATTAAGAAATTATTTTATTTTATTAATTATTTATATAATTTATATAATATTATTATTTTTGTATTATTATATAATATATTTATATTTTATTTTTTAATAAATTTAACATATTATATAATTTATATAATTATTTTTCTATAATATAATAATAATTATAATTAATTATTTAATTACAATATTATTATATTATAATTATTAACCTTTGGCTTACCACACTTGGTCCAAAGGACTCAGACATTTTTTTTTTTTTGCAACTTGAGTCATTTTTCTCAATTGTACTCAACTTTGGTAATTTTCTTAAACATATTTAAATTTAATTGAAAGCTATAAAACTTATATAGTAATTTTAAGTAAGTATTAAAGAAGTCTGAAAAAAATGTTGAAGTAAATCTATGCAATAATTAATTGTTTATAACAATTTTTCTCGCTCGGGTCCAAAAGACCCGGGTGTGGTAAGCGTGTTACACCAGGAAGGGTAGTATGCAAATGTTAATTTATATATTAATAAATTATTTTATTATTAAATTTATATAATATTATTATTTCCTATTATTTTAACATATAATAATTTTATTTTATTAATAAATTAAACACACATATTAATTTATATAATTATTATTTTTTTTTCTAATATAATATTAAATCTTTAAATAAAAATATATATTAAAATTATTATTTTAATATTAATATTAATTTATTAATTAGATTTTTAATTATAAATTTAATTTAATATCAAATTATTTAATTTAATTTCTTTTTATGACAGAAAACTCAAGGTGTTACACCCCTGGTGTTTCTATTATTATTATTATTATTAACATAAACAATTAACAAATTTGATTAATTATCTCTGTTCATTAGAAATGATATTAGAAATTAATTATTAGAAAGTTAATTAATTTTGTATAGATAATTAAGTTAATTTGTTCTTCATTTATTATTGTAATTTGTATCAATCGAAATACGAAATACGTTCATGTCAGATGTATATACGTGTATATATGTGTATATGTGTGTATATATGTGTATATGTGTTTTAAGAAGACTATTTACATACTTTTTACGATCAGGTGACTTCTCTCCAGTTGACATAGAACATCCTCTATGTAAGAAACCTTTTTTATTGAGTTTCTCTGGTGTATGCCATGATCCTCTTCTTTTGCTATTACCACCCCCATGACTGGTGTTTGCTTGTTCGAGACTTCTTTCAAGATTGGCAATGTTTTGTTCAATATCGATCAACATTTGTTGCTCGTCTTCCATCACGTCTGATATTGCATAAGAGCTGCTACTTCCGTCAGGTGGATTATATCGTATTTCGAAGCAAACTAACACCTGTATAGTTTTTAGAATAAAAAGAAACAAAATATCAAATGAAATACAAACATTATTATGAATAAAATAAAAATTCAAATATAAAACTTGTTGTCCATTATAATTGACAATTAGGAAGCAAACGATCACATCTGTGTGGTTTTTTACAAAAAAAAAAAAAAATAAAATAAAACCAAATATCAAATAAAATACAAATTTAAATAAAAATTGTTGTCCATTATAATTCACAATTTTATATAATATAATAATTTTGTATATAATTATTATTATATTAATTTTAATATTTAATATTATATAATAATGTAATAATTTTATATATGGAATTATTATTATATTAATTTAATATTTAATATAATATATTAATTTAATATTTAATATAATAGAATAATATAATAATTTTATATATGGAATTATTATTATATTAATTTAATATTTAATATAATAGAATAATATAATAATTTTATATATATAATTATTATTATATTAATTTAATATTTAATATAATATAATAATGTAATAATTTTATATATGGAATTATTATTATATTAATTTAATATTTAATATAATATAATGATATATAATTATAATTGACCAATTTAATTTAAATAAAATTTAATTTTAATTTAATTTAATTAAAATAATAATAATAATAATAATAATAATATATATATATATAATAACATTTATTTATAATTGATCAATTTATATTTCAATTCTTACTATAAAATAATATCGTTTACATTTGATTTTATTTTCATTTATTTTGAAAAAAAAAAAAAAAAAAATAAATATATAAAGAAGAAATGTGTCAGAGTATATTGCAGCACTTGGAAAGAAAAATTTGTCAATAACAATTTCCATTTGATAAATGTTACATGTTAGAAATAGTTCACGGTTGCGTGTGTAACTAGTAAAAAAAGAGTAATCGATATACGTCAACAACTCGATTCCATTTGTTCCTGAATAAAACAGAAGAAAAAAATAGAAATAAAAAATAAAAGAAAAAAAATCAAATACGAAGAGTACCGACACGAAACACGAAGTAAATAATAGTACATGTATACAGTATATATATATATATATGTGTTGAATTTTTAAGAATAGATTTAACAATAATAAAGTAAATATAATAATTATTATAAATTAAATATAAAATATAATAATTAATATAAATAAAATATAAAATATAATAATAAATAAATATAATAATTAATATAAATTGAATATAAAATATAAAAATAAATAAATATAATAATTATACACGCGCGTGTACATTTATGTATTAATAATTATTGTAAATAATAATGAAATTCATTTAAATTCATTTTGATAATAAAACGTCGACAACTTTAATTACAAAATTGCAATTTTAAAACTAAAGTGCAATTAATCGATTTGTTTACAATATGAATTTATACTTTTAATATATAAAAGATCTTTCACACAAATAATATTTGATTTTTATTAATAAATTGTTATCATTTCAAATTGTCATCAATCAACATTCGTGTATACGAGTATATTTTGTTGTTTTTTATTGTTAAATGTTTCCTATCATTTATAATAAATTAATAATAATAATAATTACTTTCGTTCATTCAAAATTTTATTGATTGAAATATATATATATATATATATATATATATATATACTCAATCGTATTGTATTACACGTGAAAAGAAATTTATGACTTCATTATTGATAAAAATATTTGATATCGTAATATTCAGTGATATTGAAAAGTAAAAAACATTTGCAATATAAATTGAACAATAAAGTAACATCTTGTAATAAATATCCTACAATTAATTTAACAATTAATTGTTTCAAATTGCTCTGATGTAAATTAGTATTATTCATATATAATAATTCATATAAATTATCAAGTATTAATTATATTATATATTAAAAGTATTAGAGTGTTGTGTGTGTGTATGTATGTATTATTCTTGTTAATGTCAAAAGTATATATATATGACATATAGCATATAAACAAATGATTACTATGTCAAATAAAAACTTCTAAATGTTTGTATATTTTTTTCTTTTTTTTTTTTGAATTTTTTCTCTTTTTTTCTCTTCAAATTTAAAATCAATTCAAACCTCAATTGCCCATCAAGGCAAACCTTTTGAATATTTTTCATAGAAAAAAAAAAAAAAGAAAAAAAAAACATTAATATTATGACACTTTACGTAAATAAAAATAGAAACCAGTTGGACTGTAAAAACTGACGAATAAAAAAAATATATATGTACATATACATATGCATGTTCAATTTATCATTCACTTTATCTACGTCACAACTTGTCCAACTATATAATATATATAAACTTCAAAAGAAAGAT